TGTTGTATGCTAGATTCCTACGCATTTATCGCGGTTAACCACAGACGCACAGTTTGCAAATCTCAGTCGCCACATGTTCGACCAACTATCCACTCGTCTATTGGTTGATTATGGCCGATTCTTTTAAATTATATAAATATCAATAACCAATTATCATCCAGTCCATTTCTAATATTTATGTGAGGTGCAGGCTACTACATGAATGATAGATTTCTCATTGGAGTTTCTATTCATCTTTGGCTGTCAACACGTTGACTGATTAACTGTTGTCAATCCACTTTTACTGCTGCTGTCACATCAAATATTTAAGTTAAACGTTGACTTATGTGGATTAGAAAATAAATAAACAGAAACAAGTGCTTTTTGTTCTGGTATTTTAACAGTCTGGAGACAATCTTAGTCAGAGTTCATCTAAAACAAGCACCTCACACTTTCACAATGGTTTCTGACTGAATTACAAGTTATTTATGATTTTGCTTAATTAAATGATTTCGCTGATACTAAAGGAGGAACATTTTCCCTTGACATACTCTCACATGTACATTTTGGTACAGACTAATCGGGTTGTTATTTTGGTTATTTTGCATATTACGAAATATCCTGATAAGGTCAATTCTAGAATACAAAAGTTTATCTTGCTCCAGGCAAAAAAAATAAATTAGAAACAGGAGAATCGGTGTCACTTTTAAAATATCTACTGCAAACACTTACAATTAGAAGCATATAAAATATGTGATTAATGATGAGCCATTACAAACATTAAATATAAATACACACAGTAAGCAAAATAATTTACTATATTTTCCGTTCCACACTGCATAATATAATTTTCTGTTTAAAATGTTAGAGAACCAAGATGTAGGTTTCCGAAATTGCGTTGAATATTACTAATTTTCTACTTTTGCTTGAGAAAAGCGTAATATCTAACAGTTTTTTTTTCAGATTCCTTAAGTTTGAGATTGATTTTACGTTTTGTGCTCTTTTAGGTCTATATTTCCTAATCTCAAAGTTGAATGGAAGAGACGCAAAAACGATATTTTATATAAGAAGTCAGCTGAAGCGGTACATACATCACATCAACAGCCATCCATTCGACCCATTATTCATGAGGCTGGAAGTGTAGCCGACTGACTGGGAATCCATACTTCATGACGTTACATGATGGATACTTTATTTGCTCTCCTTACTATTTGTTGTCTCTGTTAACGTTTGCCTAATAACCCTACACTTTGAATATTGAGAAATCGATTTGATGTAATGAAAGCAAAGTTTGTGGAATAACTAACTAGTTAGATTATTTAGTCAGTTAGTCAACCGTGCATGCTTTGACATTGGCAGGCCCGTTTCTATCATTCCCTCCACAAAAAAATGCTTCTAACAGATGAGCGCCGGTACCGGTGTTCATATTGACCCACCAGTCGGCTCCCGAGACCACTAAGATATTCCAAAAAATGCAAATTTATTGTCTTCGGTGTACTTTTCGACAAAATACACACACAGGCAGGCCGCTCAGTTGAATGAGTTCATACCATTTTCTGATATTACACACCTAATAATTCAAGTTATTAGAAATACGAATAATAAATAGACGCGGACTTAGTAAACAATGCATTAAAATTTAGAGCTTTACAGAATGTGTTGCTCACTTCTATCACTCGCCCTCACATCTCTAATATAAACAAAGCATATGCCTTCGAGGCATCCAACTAAATTCGTCTTTACCGTTAATTTATTTATTACCTCATCATAGGCGGAGCAGTCGATAATAGTATTCATAGTTTAGCGAATGCGATCGTTCAAACGCGTGCGAAATCATATATTTTCCAATAGCGTGCATCATATTTTGCAAAATCAATGTGGGGAATGTGCAACAATAAGACTATGTCTTTTCACGGTTTTTGGTGTGTCACAGTAAAACCGTAAAACTGCAAGAATTAGTTTGATACCCCCATCTCCCTCACATATTTATACAGGCTGTTTCCTGACCCTCATCATTGGGATCTCGAAAACTGAGAGATACAAAGTCGCTTAAATAAGGGCAAAGTTGCGTATTTAGGTAATCAACAAAATGCCGCTTAGAAAGTTTCAAGGTTCAAACTACTTCCGGAGCGAGACGGAAAAACCCGATTATTCCCAAAATCGTTTTACTTTCTTCCTAACTTTATTTGTAGTGGAATTTCAAAATAATTTGTACATTAACATTGCCACTTTTTTCGCTTCTTTAAGATAGCATAATTTGAATTTCAATATGACGTTTTGTCTCTTGTCCTCCAGCCTCAACTTTATTTTTTCTACTGGACGCCATATTGGTTTTTTTGCGCATATGAATAGAGCTTTTAATTCTGATTTCAAAAATGTACAATATTTCATACATTGACAATGCCAAACCTTATTTATTCTATGAAAACAGACTTTCCTAGGTAGTGCTTGAAATTATCAGATTTCATTTGTTTCGTATACCAGAGCACACCTAAAATTGAACATAGCAGCAGATTTTGGAAGACAGAAGAAAAGAAATAAATCGAGCAGTGGACAATACACAGAGAAGAGTCAGGCTTTGCCTACAAAATAACGAATACTGGTATGATTAACGTCTGCTTATTTATGTTATGATTATCATTGTTATTACCATATCTTTTTATTTCCTTATAATTTTCATCCAACAAAAAATTCATGGCTAATTAAGGAAATACATAACTGAATTTAGGATTGAAAATGCCATTTAATTGTATAAAATTCCAATATAGCGTCCATATGAAAAAACAAAGTTGGTGATGCAAATCGAAATAAAAAATGTCGATTTAAAATTTTGACTCAGAGGACAATAAGTAACAATTACAACATGCATTGATTTTGAAATCCAATCTCAAATAAACTCAGGAAAAAATAAAAGTGATTTTGGGATAAATCTGGTATGCGAAACAAACGGCAATCTGATAATTTCAAGGCCTACCTAGGAAATTTTGCATTTTTGAAATAACTAAGGTTTGACAATGTCAATGGATGACATGAGATTATACATTTTTGAAATTAGAATTAAAAACTATACTTATCTGTGCAAAAATTAAATATGGCGTCTATAAGAAAAAATAAAGCAGATGCTGGAGGACAACAGACGAAACGTCATATTAAAATTGTAGTTATTCCATCTTATACAGGAGAAACAGTGGCTTTGTATCTCTTACAGTTTCTGAGATCGCAATGGTGAGGGTCAAAATTGATACACTCTATATATGTCTCTACCCGCGGAGGCTTGTTTCTGAAAGCTCACAGATATACTTGTCACTGCCAGTATGAGAAGTTGCTGATCATATTCGTGCGATTTGAGTTTACCTCTTGTTGATCTCCGATATAAAACAAAGCAATGCCTGAAGATACTACTATAAGGTTGGTAGTCTATACTAACTTTTTTAATTATTTCCAAAAGGTGAATTAAAACAACGGTCATTTGTTACACAATTCATGTATGTGTGCAAGAGCAAGTAGCAGACGCGTTAAGGATCGGCTTGCGCAGTTGAAGTTAAGCTCCACAAGTGATACAGTTAAGACGATTTGTTTACTTATTTCGTATGACATAATGACGCAAAAACGAAAAACTGTGTCGTCGGTAGGTGCCGAGCCATCTATTAGCGAACCCCCAAACCCAGGGCGGTTTTTGTTTTAAACCAGTAATGAAGGTAAATCCCAAGGTCATTGCCACGCATTGTTATCTCGTGGTATAACTACTATTTGGTTCAAACATGATATTTATGGAGAACCTAATATTTTCAGTTGTTTAATCTTGATAGTCGTGAGTCGTTTTTGAGAAAAACCATAGCCTTATTTCAGGGCTGTTTCATCGATTATGATACTGATTCCGGTATACTGGTACCGCCATTCTTAAAATATAATAATTTTGAGAAAAATTCGTAATTGGCGACGCCAAAAACCCATGTACATTCTCAGATGATTCTACATAGTGTAAGTAGTAAATCGAGATAAGCAGTAAATGTGTACGTTGGTGAAGATGCGAGTAATTGATGCGTGCATTGTTTCCATTTTGGATTTTGGGACTGTACCACTTCCACCAAGGACAAGTCGTACAGGCATGAACCTTGAACTCACTCGAGGTTGGCTTGAAGAAAACCTATAAAGGTTGCAGGGATGTTTTCGCGCTGTCTCTAGTAGTTACAATACTGGGAAATTCTCGAAAAGTATCCCTACTATATCAGGGTATCAACAGAAAATTTTAGTGATGCTACAGGAATAACCAATTACTCCTGTCTACTTAGCAGTTCAGCACCCAGGGTATCAAAGAAAAGTTCAACACAATGTCTTGCAACTCTTCACAAGAACAGGATGAGGAATTTTGCGGCCTTATCACCCCTCTCCACTCATAAAGGAGGCTCTATTCAGCCACGCGGGCATAACAGACCTGATGGTAGCTGCCTTACGACCATCGAATGCTCCCACAAATATAATGAAATCGCTCCTCACAGATATCACAAATTCAATGCAGGTATAAAGGTAATAATATTACGTTGAGATTAGTCCATCCCTGGCGAACTATGCGAATTAAATGTTTTCGATGAACTCCGATATGTGAGGCCTCAACTATACTGTCAAAATTTGCTTAGAATGTAGAGTGTTGTTCAAAAGTTATTATATGAAAACTGATTTTCAGATCCTTCATTTTGGAGTCTGCGTCTCAGAAACATTAAATAGATGATAAGTTCCTGTAATGCTGGGGCTACATTAGCGGGCTACGGCGAATATTCGGGCTACGGCGATGTGTGTGGCCGGGTACATCGTTACAACGCGGTGTATTCGGGCGAAGACGATGTAACATCGGGTCGCTGTCGGTAAACTAGCACGCATCAAAGGGACTTATCGCGACAATATTCGCATGTCGGGCTACACCTGCGTTACTTCAGGGTCGTCCAGACTTTGAAGCGAGACGGACGTGCGTGTGTTTTGCAGAGATAAAATATATTTGGCCTAGGTGTTTTGTACACTGTACGATGGAGTGGAATAACGAAAAAGTGTTGGAGTTCATTCAGTTTTATGAAACAGAAAATATTATATGGAATCCTAGTAACCCAGACCACAAAAAGAAGCATTTGGTACATGATGCGTGGACGAGAATTCAAAATAGGCTCAGTTGGCCTACCACAATAGAAGAAATGAAGAGGAAAAAAGATTCTTTGATGTCGTACTACAGAGCTCATCTCAATAAAATAAAGAAATCAATGAGGTCAGGCGCTGGCACCGACGACATATATCAAACAAATTGGTTCGCCTTTTCGGCTATGAACAGTTTTCTTCAGCCAATATATGATTGTCGCCGGACTATCGATACACAGGTAAATAATGAAACACGCCTATTTATTATATCTTATATTTATTCACATTCCACAGTGTGACTTCACAAAAATAAAAACATACTTTTAGTCTAAGCAACATGTAGCTTTTTGGGTGAAATCTGAGTATAGTCTCCGAAAATTACGATGAAGGTGTCATTTGATTCGGAAAAATATGTAGAAAGTTTAAGAAAAAATTCGAAAAGGCACTGATAAAAAGTGCAAAAGTTATAAACAATGTAAAAACAAACAAAATGGGAGTTTTGCTTTTTTTGTTGCTTAGACTATTTTTATTGCCTGAAAAAATATTGAGCGAACTGGTCCCTGATCTGTGTAGGTAAAAGACCGCTCCGTCTATCTACCGCTGGAAAAGGGCGCAACGCAGTTTCTTCTTGTTGCTCATTTCTCCATGTACCATTCATCGTTACATCAGAATCAAACCTACCGGTCCCCGACTCATCCATCACCATCTCAGTTACCAAAGAACCACACATATCACTCTTCAAATCAATCATCACCATCTCCATCACCACCGACCCAAACGTACCAGTCTCCGATCCATCCATCGCCATCGCAGAACCAAACCATACCATCTCAGAAAACATCACAATTCGTTATATCGGAGACTGGTGATATAGTATTCATATGAAAATGTAGTAGTTTTGTAGTTTTTTTTATGGATGGTATACCTTTTTTTAATAGGAATGAGAATAGAAAAATGTTTATTTTGTTATTAATAATCGAAAAGAAAAACTCCATAAAGGTACATGTTGCTTAGACTATAGGCACTTAGTGAAATAAACTGAACTATGAGTAAAATATTGTATTTTTCTTACCATAACTTCGTCTTTCAAAACGATCAAAATACTTGCACACACTTCATGTACTATTTTGGAAATGAGTTGATGAGATATTTTGAAAAGATAATGAAGGCTTCGAAAATCATCTCCTGTCGCCAGATAACGTAGTGTTATTGCCAATCGCACTTTTGCAGGAATTGCTTTTCTGAATTTTGTATCTTTTTTGGTGATTAGTGGTGCGAGCTTTTGTAGTAGTATTTCAAAGTCAGATGTCGACATACGTAAAAATCCAGGGAATTCTATACCGGACTCTGCGGTTAGCTCAGATAACAAACGTTCCATTCCTGTTCTGTAAATAAGAAAAAAATGTAAAAATTATTATTATATACTCACACCACTTAAGGTCTAATGCAGAAAAAGGCAAAATAGAAACATTATATCAAGTATTATTTTAGCGTGACGTGTTGTAAAAATTGTGCTGCACACTTATATCGTTCGGTTTCTATGAATAGTAGTCATCCACCATCTCCTCCTTCTTCTCTTATTCATATTACTTTGTACCTGATACCCGTACAAGTGTAATAAATAATAATAATTTACTGACATATAATGCAACGCTACTGCTTCCTCCATATTTTCGTCCGCACGGCTAAACAACACACAAACGAATAATCGTCGCAGTCCGTTATATGAATCTTCGCCGCTAAATGTAGACAAGAACATCGTGTATGCCCGATACACGATGTTTTTCGCGCCAACACGACACGAATCTTCGCCCGCTAATGTAGCCCCACCATAACACTTTCAACGCCGCCAACGCGCCAGACGCGTTCAGTCTGGTTTACATTCCTATCCTGCTGACACGGCGAGTAGACTTTCAGTGTTTGGCGGCACGTAACAAACACTTTCAAAAATTCTAAATACGTGGTGGTTTCTTGTTTGAATGTTGTTGCCATTAATGTAACGGCTTACAAGTCGATTGTTAGTTGTTGCTATACCACTAAACATGCCGCACGCCGTTATCCTCATCACGTTTCCACAGAACGCAAGCGCTGAGATTCCGGCCATATTTTCAAGGAAAACGACATAAATTTCGAACTAAATTATAGGCCCTTGTAGAACCTAATGGATTAGTTAAAAAAATCTCCAGCTCCAAACCTACGCGGTAGCAAACATAGAGAAAAAGTTGTCCATAGTCTATTAGAAGACAAAAAAGGTGTAGGACATTCGGCTTATATGGACAATTTTTATAACAGTGTCGCATTATCGGAACAATTACTTTAAGAGAAAACATACACCATAGGCACACTTAGAACATAGCTGGAAATCCAGAAGTTATTTCTAAAAAAATAGAAAAGGAGAATGTATTTCTTGATGAAGGACATGGAAGGACAAGCGTGACATTTTAACCACTTCTACGAAATTTGACAGTGAAATGGTCAATGTAATTTCCAAAAGAGGAACAGAAAAAAGAAAACCAAAACTGGTAGCTGAGTACAATAAATGTATGGGTGGTATAGACCAAAATGACTAGATGCAAAGTTATTCTTGTGAACGCAAAACACTTCGTTAGTACAAGAAGATGGGCATCCACATTTTCCAAACTATGCTTATAAACTCTTAAAAATTTGCCGACCAGAAAGCCAATTTTTACCATTTCAGGTTATCCATTATGAAATCCTTGTTACCACCTGCTCCAAAAGCACAACGACCTACTATGATTTCTCATCTCCCAGAAAAGCGAAAAGGCGTAGATGTAAATATTGTTGGGAAGCACAAAAACTACGGAAGGATTCTACATATTTCTATCCACAATGTCTGAACGTACCTGAACTTTGTCTCACCCTTGGTGTCCGAAATTTTCATGAAAGTATGTAGTTTCATGAATGTTTTCACTTCTGCTCGTTCTTTGGCATTTTGTTTTTGTTTTTTATTAATGCTAGTGTTTTTTTAATAAAAAAATACAGTTCAAGGTAAACGTCAGGAATTTTCAGGAAAGTAACTTTTTTCTTAGTAATACAGGTTTCACTGTTGTTTATTTGTATTCTTGTTTTTTGTAAATTTTGTTTGAAAATTCTACATTTTTTGTATTTCAAATGTTATTGACATTGCCATAAAAACTACTCGCATTCTATATGCCGGCAACGCGTTCTTTTCATTTCTATGACTTTTTGCCTTTAAGGTGCATTAAGCTCCTAAACAGGCAATTTAGACTACTTCATAAAAGATTTCTCGAAATTACTTTTGAAAATACACGTGGCACACAAGGCTCTTATTAGTAGAGATGCCGGATGTAAAAGTGTTTTAAAGACACGTACCACGGGGCTCCCCAAGGTAGATATAGGTTCCTAAAGGACACACTGGATATCGATTCATTATCCAAAGAAATTTTGACAGTACAGTAACCAGTTGAGGCCACACACATACGACGGAAATGCAATACTTCCTGGCCTAATGCCGTGAGAAATAAAATTGATGCATTTTGGACAAGTGTAATTTAATTTACTTCTATTGCACTACATTTATGTAATTCCCCTTCCCTTAAACATAGATCTGCTTCAGCTCACCTCACGGTTCACGACATTTTCAAATACCTCTGCATGCAACATTTCAACGTTTGAAGTTTTTTATCCTCTATTCTCTGGATTATGTAATAAATGTAGTTACTGCAGCCTTTATGAAATGATTATTGTGCAAATAATTTGTTTCATACAAACTTGCCTGAAAAGTTTACCTATCAAAAAGTTTACCACATTTCTGTAATGGAAATATTTATTTCCATCGCAACTCATATTTCGTTAAAATCTGCATGAAAGTTTAAATGGAAATTTAAAATAATATACTGGAAAGTTCAGATGGTCACTATGCATCCAGTGCAGTTCATAAAGGTCCTCTCCTCTACTTATTTTTAAGCCGGACAATTTTAATGAAAAGGTGACAGTTGAAAATCTCAGGATGGAACATTATTTTAAATGGAATGGGAGGTCATCTGATATTTTATTTTAAAGCTACCTATCAGTACTTTATAACGCTAGAATGTAAAACACTGAATCGCTCATTAACTATCAAAAGGATATATTAATCTCCTTCACTAGATGGTATATCTGAATCTGTACTAAAATTTGGGGCATTCGCTTTAAAGATTTGTCAGATTTTGACAATTTTTCATAATGACATGTTTCACATTGTATCACATATTCGGATAAATATTTCTTAAAGAAGAGGATTGGTATAACGTACTACAGCTCTTTGATGTAGGGTTGATGAGTTAAAAGCGATTCAATGTACGTAGTCATGCCATAAGTTCTGTCCCTCGTTTTCAAACAAGTGTAGACCTGTTAATACTTGTCCGATTGTTTACATTGTGGTGTCAGTTGATTAAGCGCTTTTCGGGTAATTACATATACCTCAGTTTGTATTGATCTCTCGAAGCATAACGATGGAGTGGGGCAAGGCAGAGAACCGTATTGCAGTGATAGCTTTACATAAGTGTAATCACAGTGCTAGTCAGATTTTTGAACTCTTACGCGGCCTTCAAATATCGCGTAAATTTGTGTCTAGGACCATTCAGCGGTACAATGAGACGTCCTCTGTTGATGACAGGCCAAGAAGCGGAAGACCTCGTCAAGTAAGGACTCCAGCAGCCATCAAAGCCGTAAAAGCCAGGATTCAAAGGAATCCACTCCGGAAGCAGAAGATCCTATCCAGGGAAATGAAGATTCCTGTCCGGACGATGTCGCGCATCATTAAACAAGACCTAGGGCTAGAAGCTTACCGGAGACGTACGGGCCAGCGACTTACGGCCACCTTGCGACACATCAGGGCGACAAGATCCAAGAAGCTCTTGGAGAGGTACGCAGCTGGGGGATTCCGAAAGATTTTGTTCACGGATGAGAAAATCTTCACCATAGAAGAAAAATTCAACCGACAAAATGACAAAGTGTATGCAAGGAGTTCACAGGAAGCTTCGGAGATCATTCCGAGAGTTGAGAGAGGCCACCACCCTGCGTCAGTCATGGTTTGGTGGGGGGTGTCCTACGAAGGGGTCACTCAGCTCCATTTCTGTAAACAGGGCGTGAAAACAAAAGCGGCAAACTATCAGAGCGACATACTGGATCCTATCGTCAAGCCTTTAAGTGGTACATTGTTTGCCAACCAACACTGGGTCTACCAGCAGGATTCCGCCCCCGCTCACAAGGCTAA